TTTGATCACAAACACATTTCCTAGCTTTTTCGAAGCTCCACTTATAAATACAATAAAGTGGAAGGCCCTACAGTAAAACACACCATGAGAGCCAAGATCTACAAATAAATAGTGACTGAAAGCATGCAAACCCCTTCAAAACCATGAGGTTCAGCCTGGCCTTATTCAACACTTCCCAGCCTCTGCAATCCCTGAGGAGTGGCACTATCCTCACAACTGCTCTGCTACAGCAACAGGGGAGTTAAAACAGAAACCCCTGCTCCTCCCTAGGTTCTTCCCTCAACTTCTGGGGAGTTGTGGGGCAAAGAGCAGCACAGGGACACGACAGGAGGGATGGGAGAGGAAACAGCACAGAATAAAGGAGCCCTCCAAGAACATGGGGGGCAAGCACAGCATCTCTGCACACCCCAGGAAAAGAGTTTGCAAGGGACATGCTTCAACTCTAGCAGAAAAATTAAGGATTAGAAAATAACCAGAGTAAGATTAATAATTTACAGATCACTTACAAAGGCTTTCTCTGTTAGAGCTCTACTCAAAAACATCTACATACATGAGTAGTCCTGGCAGAACTGTACAAACAGCATGCAAGTGCTTCATATGTTCACGAGTGCATTCATGTAGAAGTGCTGGGAAAGCTGCACAGGCAAATGCCCTGTGCTAAATCACAACCATAATCGTGCCTGCTCACATCAAGTGTTTGCATAAGTCTATCAAAAGCAAAAAAGTTTAAAGATTTAATCCCATTTAGACAGATGCACATTCAACATGAAAAAGGTAAAAAAATGAGAGTGTTTCTTTCAAAAAATGTTGAAAAAAATCCAGGTAACAGCTAAGTTAATTATCTTACTTTTAAAAATGCAAGTTAACTGGTTTGTGTAGGATGCTCTGATACCACAAGGTCTACCTATCAAAAAAGGGGAGCAAAAGACAGCGAGTAAAAAACAGGCAGAAACTTTCAATCACTACTCAAAGCAATTTTAATTGGTATTTACTGAAGGAATATGCTCCAAGGTGATAATGTCTATTTAAAAAAAACCACAACAAATATGATAAGTCCTTTCTGGACAACATCCTTTCCAACTTGTATTGTACCATTCTTCCTTCTTTCCACAGCAGTGCAATTCCATCCACTGATTTGCTCATGACTCAGTTTAAAGGGGAAAAAAGTAATAAAATTTAATTTCATCCAGCTAAATATTTTGGCAGATATTCTGCACTAAAAATATACACTGTAATTTAGAATAAATGTTCCAAATCAGTTCAATCCTTGCTCACTCCAAGCATTATCTTGAACTTTAGCACTTGCTTTCCTAAACCTTGTTAGCATATGTATGACCTTGATCAAAAAAGTGTTTTTTTAGTTTCTTTGAGCTGAAACTCATCATCAAACTAAAACTGCATCATAAAAAGGGCAGCAGCAGGTCTGCCAAGCTACTTTATGTTTTAAAGTTGGGCTTTTTACAAAACTATGCTTCATCTATGTGAAGAAGAAAAATTAAGAGGGTGCTCAATCCGCTGTTTGCAGCCTTGATGGAAATGAAACTTCCATGTTCCTAATATGATGTTTATAAACAACGCCAAAGTTCCAGATACTGAGTCATCTCTGCCTTTTGACTTCCCTTCAGCTGAGGGGATTTTCCAGAGTGTGAGCAGGCACCGTTCACACTTTGCTGGCGCCCCCGAGCACGGATGCAGCGTTTATGCAGAATCATGCAAACACAACAGAGAACACCGACTGTGCAGGCAGCCACAAAACTCACTTAGCACTACATATGTCATTCTAGATTTCTCCCACAGTCTCTTCCCTATTTTTCCCCTCCCTTTTTTTCTTGTTCCTTTTGTTTTGTTGTTGTTTTGGGTTTCTTTCATCTCCATCAGGGCAACCAACACTCACAGCCATGCAAGCCCTGGCTCCCCAGAACCCCCAAGAAAGAGCACGGATTGTGCTTCACCAGCTGCCTCCTGATCTCTGGGGTTTCCTCACTGGTGCCACTGCTGCCTACACGTGGTAAGTGTAGATTTATGTGCAGCTGTCCCATTCTTCTAAGCTCTGTGGTAATGAACTTGGAAGTGAGTGCAGGCATTTCCCCATCCTAAGGAAGAGATGCCTGCACTGCCCAAATTGAGCCAGAACACCAGTAAGTGGCTAAAAAGGATGATGTTAAGTGAAGCAGGGTGTATAATGTGACTTTTGAAATGCAGGCAAATGAATTTTTAAGTATGAATCCCTTCTACATAGATTTTCCATTACCAGGAATAAAATTATAGAAGTGTCTGCTTATAACTGGGAAAAGAACACAACATAAACCCTAAGGAAAAATAAGTATATTCCTTCCCTTGTATCCACTACTGTGAGCTGAGAAAGACTCTTTCTTTAATGAGCACTCACTTGCTAGAAGTGATGAATATTTCAGATGTTCTTTCAAAATAAATATAGAGAACCTAATACAGTATTTATGGCACAGATGAATTTCCTAAACGAGTCGCCCAATAACCAGAAAGGAGCATTAAGACATGAGTATGGAAAATTATAAAGTACACAAAAGGGTACAGTATAATAGTGTGCATCACTTTTAGTTTCCTTTCTATCTGTCCAATCTATTTGCAACTGGAAAGCACTGCTTATTTTCTCCTGTACAGAATTTGTGAATGGCTTGGTCCTCAGCAGCACAGCTAGAACACGAGCTCTCTAAGTAAATAAACGTGCATCTATCAAGACTTCAGAAAGTTAGGAAAAAACCCTAAACTCCATGTATTATCAGAAGAAAGTACTAGAAATCCTCCTTTAAGAAGCTCAAGAATACTACTCAAAGAAAATACAAAGAGAAAAGGACATATCTTGTTGAAATTTTGCAAATGTCACTGGTCAGATGCCCTCAGCCACAACCAATTGTAAAATCAAACACTGAAGTCATAATTCAACAGATAAGACACCACTTTACATGGCTGTCCCACCAAGAGCAGAAGCCAGGTTAGAGTCATATAACACAACATCACACTTCTAAAAAATGCCCCAGTAAAGAAGTCTGCAAATTATGCAGCATTTGAAAGCTTACAGAGCTGCAGTGTAACTTAAGATGCCCAGCCTCCCTTCTCCCACCCAAAACCAAAGGCCAACCCCACCAACCCCAATCCAGCATTCCATGAGATGCCTTCAGAGGTACTGCACTTTCTCTGGTGGATGCAGCTGGACAAACTCTTAGGAAATACACTTCAGCACCACAAAACAAATACAAACACTAGAAAACACAAAGAACAGTACCTAAAACCAAAGAGGAAATACCACAGAATCAGTTCAGCAAAGGGAAAGTCAAACCAGAAATCAAGTCAGGTCCAACGACTGACATGGACACTACGCACACACACACACAGAACCAGACAAGCCTTTCCATTCAACGGCCAAGGGTGGAAAAAAACTCTCCAGAAGGCATTTTGGAAAGGAGAGGAATGACAGACTCATATTACATAGCAACCTGTTGGGCCATCAAATCACAAACAGTGGCAAAATGAACTCAAGAGGAAAAGCTCAACACCAACCATGAGCCATGACTGCAGACAGACACCCAACACAAGGTATCTGTCTGTGACCAAAGAAAAACACATTTCCCACACTTTGCCAGAACAGGCATCAGACCAACTACACATTATAAACTGACTCCTTCACAAACACGCATTTTGCATGCTACTGTCAACAGCACAAAAGACAGAATGAGCAAATACTTCAAGTTTTAGCTACATCCATGTACTATATTAGAAAGAGCAGCAGTATTAAAATGCATAATTAAAATCATACCCAGAACAACAAAAAATACTAATACTTTAATGGCTTATTTTAATGCAAAAGAAAGCCCACTAAGATTTGCTAGCATTGTACAACCACAGTTAGTGTTAGCACAACTAGTCCACGTGGAAAGACAGACACCCTTGAGGTTGGACAGGTTATTTGCTCCTTACTTAATCTTAACTTTGGCTTCTCTTACCAAAGTTTCTGTAAAGCATGACAGTGACAACACAACTGTTAAGAAATTGTGATGTTTTCAAATAAAATGACACTACAGACCAGTCGGCATTTATCAAATCCCGTATGTCAAATAACTTCTGAAATTTTAGTGTACTGAAACAACACTAAGCTATGTTATATTTAGCTGGTATAAGAGAATAGTTCAACAAAGTAAGTTTAACATACTTTTTGTCTGCATTTTCACTAGCTTCATCTTACCCATACCATCCATCTTACTTGCCCCATCCATCCTCCAACACGTTTCCAACAACAAAATAAATTACTTACTTTGATTCAAAACATTCTATAGATTAACTGAGAAAAGCAGTATCAATACACTACCTGTTACTTAAAAAAACCCAAACAACCCAAAACGTTAACCATGAGTCTAGCAAGTCTGTATTTTGGTATAAAAACTAAGACATTTGCATCTGAAAGACCAATCATTTGTTACCACGAAAGATAGCCGTCTTAAAAGTGTGGAAGGAACATGTCACCACTGAAACTGAAGGTTGTTTTAACTTTACAGAATTTTCAGTTTCAGCTGAGGTATTCTGAAGTTTAAAGAAAGAGAGGAAATCAAAACTTCAGTAAAGTAAGTATAAAAATTCCACTTTTGTTAACTTGGCTCGCAGTTTAACGTTGACTTCTCACATGAAATTTCAGACGCCATAAAACCTGTACGGCTAAAAACATTTAACTGTTACCCTAGGAAGTATGAAACTAGGAACAGAAGAAATTAAAGGGAACGAGCATTCAGTGCAAGGGGAAGCAAACTTTTGGTCTGCAGACTTGTGCAGGGAGGGTCAAATATGTCTCCAACATGCTGGGGAGAAAGAGGAAAGAAAGGACATGTTCTGTGCTTTTAAAATTAGCTAATCTGCTTAATAGCTGGAAAGCGCCGCTACCCAGCGTTTAACCCTTTGCCTTCCTGGGCTGTATGACAAGAAAATGCTGCTCGAAACGGGAGAGGATAAATATCAAAGCAATCATTGGTTACCTTTAAAACTCTTTGCTTCCTCCTCTGAGGCCTTTTGTTTTCTGTTAGAACCTAAAAAAACATCAAATTGCAGAATATAAGTTGTGGTCACAAAGGCAGGCAGACACTCCCGATTTTTATTATGGAACAGCGATATTTCTGCAATACCCCGAGTGCTTTACACGCGGCCCTTCCACGGGCCGGCGGCGGCTCCCGGCGGCCCGTCCGCCGCCCCCGCGGCGCCCCTCACATCGCGGGAGCCCCGCGTTCCCCCTCACGGCGGCGGCGCCCCTGCCCCGCCATCTTTGCTTCCTGCCGCAGCGGCGGCCGCGCGGGCGCGCGCCGCGAGCGGCCCCGCGGGAGCGCGCAGAGCCCCGCAGCGCCCCCCCGCGGCCTCCCGCCCGAACAAAGGCGCTCCCTCTCGGCCGCCCGCAAGAGCCGGCCCGGAGCCGCCGCGCCCGCGGAGCCGGCGCCGCCCCGCGCCCCGGGCACGGCAGGGCCGCTGCGGGTCACCCGCCCCGGGCACCGGGGCCAGGCTCGCTCGGCTCGGCTCGGGCCGCAGTGAGAACGGGGTCAGGCGAGGACACGGTCCCCGTGCACCCGCACGCGTGCGCACACCGCCGTGCACAGGGCGGCACAGCCCGGACCCTCTCCGTGAGCAGCGCCGGGGATGCATCACCGTGGTGGGGCTCCGCAGCCGCATCGTCCCGGGAAGAGGGGAAATCGCCGCTCACATGGTGGAGGCCGCAGCCACACGGCCTGCCTTCACCTGCTCTCCCAAGCCGAGGGGACGCGACGCTGCAGCAACCCCCTCCAACATCTCAGCCTGGGGCCAGGAGCCCCGCGCCCACCGCACTCATCAGCCGGCGGCCCCTGCCCTCCCACCGCTGGCCCGCTGAGAGATGCTCCTCTGTCTTCATCCATTCCTACAGCACCCAACAGAACAAACCTACTGCCAACGGGCTGCCATGGGAACCGGCCACCATATCCCGAACGGGCTGTGATGGGAACCTAGCCACCATATCCCAAACGGAGTGTCACGGGAACCTAGCCACCATATTCCAAACGGACTGCCATGGGAACTGGCCCCCACATAAACTGCGATTGTTTTCCCACAACTGCACCTGCTTGTAAGGCTCATCCGGATGGAAGGAGGACGGAGGGGTCCCAGCGAGCCCTCACGGATCACACAGACACTCTCTGGCTCGGGACAACAAACAAATAACAATATATCTAACGCTGCAGTCACCAAAGTATTCGCTGAAACAACTCGCAGCTGACATATAAACCAGAACGGTGGATTTATGCACTAAAGATAAAAACCAGTGAGAACAGCTTTTCATCAGCTACATACTGCAATCTGTTTTCTTATCTAGTGCTACACTGTAATCACTGTCCCCTTATTGGTGCAAATCAGCAGAAATGCTCAGACGTGGACACACAACTCATTCCCCATGGCGATTAAATCAGAGAAAGATGTTACCCATTTTTTGTTGTCTGATGCCACCTCGTAGTTAAGCTCTTCATTTGTTGCACCAGAGTGATGTATTAAATAGGATTTAGGATAAGGTAAAATTAAAATACTGACTTATATTTTTCCCCCCAAATACCCCAAGTCTGCAAGGGTCTTTTTGCACATTAAAATTGAGAGAGTGGAAATCGCATGCACTTAGGAATCTGATTCTTCTTCGTAGTTTTGGCTGCTTAAGATGCTTTATGATACAGGGGGAAAAAAGGAACAGTATTTTGTTTGCTTAGAAACCTAAGACCCCATATTCTGATTTAGTCCCCAGACTGGTGCATGCACTGGACAGAAGTTTCAGGTTTCCTCGTAACCTCATGTTAGGGGTCCTCAGACACAAGGAAGGAAAGAAAACTCTTCAAATAATTTCCTCAAAAAAGTTTTAAGAACCAACACAGAAAATAAGGAGCAGTGAAGAAGCAACTTGTTAAATACAGCCTCTGAAAATAACTAGAGCACAAACTAATCCATCTCACTGTAATTTAGGCTGCATCATAGTCCACACCCAGGAACACAGAGAAATGGCAAAGTACTGTGAGTTGTAATTATTTTATACTCCCACAGAGTATGAGTGTCTGTGTAAAATAAGAGCAAGCTGCACAACTCCAACTCCCTGCCCTGCATCTGTGGGGTAGGGAAGGCTGGATGCAGCTTTGCTGATCACACACATTATCAAACTCCTCTAGCTGTGTGCTAGACCCTTATAAAACTCTCAGCTATCATACTCGGGAGTGTTTTTATGTGCACTCATTTTAAAATTCAACTGGCTTAAATATTTCTGGAGTATACTGTAAAATAAATACCACAAAGTCTAAATTTCTTGATTATAGCTGGGCCTGGCTGGAAAACAAGATTTTTTTTTTTTTGAGATTTCAACACTTGGTTTTGTTCCAAAGCAGAGCAAAACTTTCAAAAATTCAAGAGGAGACAGATGGGATGTGGGAGACCAAAGTTCAAGCCCCTGGTCTGCATCAGGCAAAAAGCCCTTACCACCAACATGTTCTAATAATTCTCATCCCCATTTTAAGTTTTAAACAGAAATTTCATTTCTCAAGCCTCGAGAAACTTCCCCCAAAAACAGTTGCATTAAGACAGTAGCTGTGAAAGGTTCCTGTTCATTCAGCATTTTCCAATCAAGGAATGGCTTACTGGAAAGTTCCCAACCAGCCTGAATTGCAGCATCCTTTTTTAATAGGTCTGGGTTTTTCAACAGTGTGTTAAAAACCCACAGACAAGCAGACTCCTCTTGTTATTTAATATTTCATGTTACTCAGATTACAGCTATTAAATAAGATGTCTTGAGACACCTTGAGCAACCCAACTGAACACTCAGTGACCTCATTTTTTTGGTCGGTTTGTTGACTACAGGTCCCACTAAATTTAGCTATTTAGTTCTAATAGGAATTAAAGCTCTCCCCAGCAAATGCTTCCAACCCAAAAGGGCTCCCTGCCTAGGCAGGACTCTGAAGTGTAGGCACCTTGCCTTGACAAGCCCTGCAAAAAGCAGCCTTGGAGATGAGGGAACAAAAGAGCTGTGAAATAGCCCAGTAACTGCAATCCTGTTTCAGAAAACAGCAGTCCTTTAAAGACAAGACAAAAATGTGGCAGTGTCATAATCCTGTGTGGGTAAGCTTCTCAGACTCTTCACTGTGAGGTATTCCTGCATTATTCATTCTGAGAGGGACAGCAACCCAAGATAAAGCCTTTTTCCTCTTCTTTTGAAAGCTTCCCTACATTTTATTTACTGGGCTGCTCTTTCCAAAATTTCAATAAGCAAAAAAAAATGTCTTCCCTTATATATTTTAGTATTCTCCTTTACCAGCTCCAAACCAAAGAGGCACAGTGTGAATTCCTCAGGAAGAGGGGCATTATATGCAACAATATTACTACACACAGGGGTTGGGAACTAGAGCCCACAATGCCTTATCCAGACTCTCATGATGTCACATCCCTGCAAAACCCATTACATTCAGGAAGGTTCAATATCACTGAAGGTTTATGTGGCTGTTGTTTTTAAATGGTATTTTTCAAGTCCAATATAGTTTTCAAATCTTTTATCTGGATTATGTGTGAATTAATGGAAATAACAGTAACCTAACTAATGCCAGTTCCAAACACACAACTGACATTTTCCAAGGGCTGAGTGCTTGTGCACATTTGGGCATGGGTGTTGGAATATCCACTTCAGTTTACATTCATGGTTTCTACCAGCCAGGCCTTACTCCCTATAACTGTAAATCCACATAAACTTCTAAAGAAAATCAATACTTTTTATTTCCTAAGCAGCAGGTATGGACTGCCAACCCTCACAGCCATTTAATGCACACAGCTCTCACTGACTTCACTGGGACTTTTGCATTTTTTAGTTAGAATGGGGGGAGAATTCCTTTAAGGCAAAACACCAACATTTAAATTATGCTCCCTGCTCTATCCCCCTACACCCTCCTCCCAGTGAATCACCTCCAAAAAATGCTTACATTCCACCAACATGAGAGAAAGAAGCATGACTCTTCTGAACAAAGAGCACACTGAAGCCAACTTCATTTCTTTTAATTATTTATGTTCAGTTTCCATACCATGGACAGAGACCTACAGTTTTGGGTTTTCCTCAGCTGCTTTCTATTTGAAACACCTCACTGTCACCGAAGTCCCAGTCCTACCAGTCTGGGAAAACAATGGAATTCCCTGCAATCTTATCTAAAGGACAGCTGCTGAACTGAGTGATAGCATTCCCCATCCCCCAACACCTTCTCCTGTATCTCAACACCTTGAAAGAGCTGATGTAACATTGTAGAAATACTCTCTCATTTCCTCAGAGCAGTTTCTAGAGACTGAAAATGAAACAGGGCCTCTTTCTAGGAACATCTGAAAAGGCACCAGGTTTCATTCAAATACAATTTTATAAGAAAATACCTGACATGTTCTTAAATGCCAGGAATACTTAATTTCCTCCATTGCACCACCCTGAAATTTCATACAAGATTTAACGAGAAATTAAGGAGGCCTTTGGTGCAGCTCTGAATGCATCATACAGAATGTGACCAGTCTAATGAAATAAAAGCACACCAAAATAAAAGCTGCCAAAGAAAAGAATAAAAACAAGGAATCTCTCATAAAGAAAGCAAAAGGAGTGCCTAGAGAGGACAAAGGTGAAGGGGCAAAGCTAATCTGCAAGGAGAAGGTCAGGCTGAGCAACAAGAAAAGAAGTATGTTTAGCCTGGAAAACAAAGGTTGACAGAAATGCTGGAGTGCTTCCTTTCACTGACCTTGCCAAAACCCTTTTTAAAACAAGGCTTTTAGATCACTTCCTACCTCAACTCCATGAATCCTCTCCCATGAACTTTTCTTCAATCCCTCTGACTAAATATACAATGACTCTTTTGCTGTAAAAAGTCAGGATAAGTCTCTACCACCTTTATTGGTTTAATATCTATCTTAAACCACATTACAGCTGTCCCTCTCCTCAATGATTTTTTCAGAGCATTAAGGAGCAGTTGAGACAGAGGTTTTTGAATGAATTCTGAGCCAAACTTTTTAAGCCTACTTCCCTAAATCATACCTTAGGATACACTTCCACCACAAAGGGGAATATATCATATTCCCTCACTACTAAAGGACTCTTCTTTCTGCTTGCCTACCTTAAAACCAGAACTGACTTCTCTGCCAACTCTGGTAAGCACAGGACAGAGCAGTGAAAACAGGAGGTCTCCTGAGATCTCTTTAGCTGACAGGAATTTCTACCTGCTCTAAGAACACACCATTTTAACAAAATTACTCTTGAGAAAGGTTTTGCAGGTGCATTCTCCCCAGTGTGAACTGCTCCACTCATGAGTACACACTGGTGCAGAGACTTGAACCTCAGTTTCCCACATCCCAAGGCAAATGTCCCAGTGATTTAACTACCAAGACATCCTCTCCCCCTCTGTGGTTCAGGTACTATTGGATCACGTGAAGAGAACACCCCCAGCAGGACCTGGCAGTGCAGAGTTTCACTGCAGCTCAGAGGTCAGGGAATTCAGTTGGGATGTGGGAAATCTATGTTCAACTCCCTACTTACCTGATTTAAAGCCTGATCTTGAAACTGAAATCCCTCAGAAGGTCAGTGCTGTTATCACATGGGCATACAGACTGTCTTTTCCCCTCCTCTTTGTTCCAAAAGTTATGACCTGGGTTATAAAAGGCTGATGGGTCAGAAAAATGAATAAAACACAGAAAAAGAAAGTACGTATAGGGAATGTGGTAAAAGACAAAGGGAGAGAGGAAAGAGAAGTGAAATGAGAGAAACAGAAGAATAGACAATTAGAAAGGCAGACAGATGCGAAAGGGGAAAATGCAGCTACAACTTGGCCCTGAAGTTTATAAATTGATTTCCACCAAATCTGTCATCTCAAGCAAATTACTTTAACTGAACCAAAGAGCAGACAACCTGCCTTCCTTTGCTTTTAGCCCTCAGTATTATAAAATACCAACACTCTCCCTAGTAATTCGCAGTCTCCTAACACTACCCTCAGTCTCCCTTCTCCCCACATTTTGTGCTTAACCCTTTCTCATTCCTTCATGCACTCCAATTGTTTTGGCCAACATACCAATATCTGGGACACAGAGTTAAAGCCACATTTACCTTTGATTTTATGGATTTACACAGCAGGAGCAAGACTAACTCCAGCTCATTCTAACCTACACTTCTGTAGATGACAAGAGGAAGTTAATGTACAACCTGTTAGCACCAACAGTAACCCTGCTGAACTCTCTCAAGCTGAATCGTGGCCAGCATTTCCCTTTGCAAAACTTTAAGATGCACCTCAAGCCTCAAAAGAGTGACTTAATTTGCAACTTGTTTCTCTTACCTCAAAAGGTAGCATGACTGGTGGTGGTGGCTTTTTCAATTCTTCACATTTTCTCTTTTTACATATCCGGTGACTAGTTTTGCGCTTCCTGCAACAGCTGCATTCCTCACAATTTGTTTTCCGCAGACAGGGCTCGCAGACTCCACAACGCCTTCGTTTCTTTTTCTCCAGCATAGGGAGCAGAGATGAATATGGAACAGGGTAACCACCAGCTGGATTTTTAAGAGAGGACAGCCCTGAGGCCTCAACTGCTTCGGTGCTGTTGCTCACGTTGTCCTGAAACAAATTCAAGCTTACTCCAACACTTCCCAGCTGTGATGAATAATCATTATGCTGCAGTCTTGAGTCAGCTGGCAAATCTGCATTTATGGCTTTTTCTGAGGCAAGAGCAGAGATTTCCATGCTTGAAGGCAACTCTGAAACAAAACCTGCAGAGAATTGTCCAGAGCTTTCAGCAGAGATTTTATCAACTGTGCTTTTTTCTAAATCTGAAGATAAAGTGGGGACATAGCCTGAATTCAAAATTAATGTCTCTGCATCAATACATTTAACAAGCTGTTCAATGTCCTCTACTTCAATATTGTTTAAAGAGGTATTGGAGACTGGTTCACATACTGTAAATATGTTTTGTGTGTCAAATTCTGAATTCTCTTTTGTAAAGCTCAAATCTGAATTTGAATCAAGTTCCTTGTGAATGGGTACAAAATCCACGAGCAGTTTCATGGGGTATTCTGCAAGCGAGCTTGCACCTCCAAAACGTAAAAGCAAATTTGATTCAGAGGCAGCTACAGAACTGGAATTTGAACCAATGTCTTTATTCCCAGATTTCAAATCCCAGCCGGCCTTCATGCAAGAATCTGCAAGTGACCTTGCATCTTCTAATAAATGTTCTTGTGAGTTAAACTCAGAGGTAACTAGAGATGCGGAATGCAAGTCTTGTTCTTCCCTAGGTAGCACCACGTCCAACCCTGCTCCAATGTGGAATTTGGCAAGTGTGACCGACTCGATCAGTACTGCTGAGCTGAGGTCTGAGGTATCAACAGAACTGAAGTCAGGTTCTGTACAGTTGGGCACCACATTGAAGGGAGTCTCTGTATGCACCTTCGAGTTTGATTCAGAGACAATTACAGAGTCAGAAGGAGAAGATGGAAGCACCAGCGCAGCACCTTCAACAAACTCTTCAGCCAAACTGCCTGTATCCAGATCACTGGGTATCTGCTCACAGGGCAGGTCTTCATGCTTAGATTTCACATCTGAAGCTCCCGTACCATCATCAGTTACCTGACAGTTTGGAATTGAGTCATCTGTTTCAGATATTTCTGCCTCCTTGTCCTGACCGGCACATGGGATAACAGGTTCTTCGCCTTCACTACACAGACAGCCTTCTACAGGCAGAGCAGCTAAATCCTTTTGAGCTAAATCTTGTATCAAAGTTATTTCACCTGTTTCATTGCTTTTCTCTTCTACTACTGCCAGGGCTTCTTGTTCACGTTTTTCCTTTGTTTCTAGCCTTTTTTGTGCTGCAGCTTTCTTGGGTTTTGCAATTATGGGAGTTTGGGACAATCTTTGGGAGAAGGATCGGTTACGGAGAGACATTGTAAAGCCATTGATGTTGAAAGAATCCTGGCTGTGAAAGAGGATATTGTCAGCTTTCTCCAAACTCACCCAAGACACTCCAGACAAGGTTCTGCTTACACTGCTCCTGAGAAGTCTACCTGAAGAGCTCATGACTGGTTTCTTTTCTTGCTGTTTTTTCTTAACATCTTTTTCTTGCACTGGCTTTTTACCTTTTCCAGAACTAACAGCTTTTGTGGAAGTCTTTGTGGTTTTCTTTCTCACTTGGCTAGATTTCTTTTTGCTCTGGTTAGTTTTCCTTTTGCCTAACTCATCTTTTTTGGCTGATCTGGAAGGCCTCGCATGGTGAGCCATGTCTGTGGAGCAGGAGGAATGTTAAGAGGAGAGATGGAAAAAAATCATGAGCTCTTCAGAGACCTCTTCAGTAGAAAACCGCACACTCCCATTGCTGCTTTCTGTGCTCATATAGTGTCAACTCTGAAACAGAAAAATATACAAAACAGCATTAATATTTTTCTAATTAATAAAATGTGCACATATATTCAACTGACCATTCTTAGTATTTAAAAATACAGAGGTAGAATCAGAAATAGCAGTATCGGGTGTTGAGATGCACAAAAAAAGCTTTGAAAATATTAGTATGCTACAAAATAAAAAGCTTGCCTAAAGGTCTGTAACAAAAAGAAGCAAACTGAACTCAAATGGCCAGGCAACATCACACACTATTTTACGTCAGTACTAAAAAATTTGAGTTCTCAATTTTATTAACAGTTCATTAACCAATAAACTTCCCTTGAGTAAGGAGAAGTTACTATTTGTCAGTGTAAGGACACTGAGGAACAAAAGAACAAAGCTGAATTTATTTTTTGTGTGTACTCAATATATCGTCACCAGGGCACCTATCATTCTTCCGCCATCCACTGGTAGCTCATGTGATAACATGGTACAATTCCAGATAAATTCCAGATAAATTCCAGATAAAACAAAATCCAGATAAAAAATTCCAGATAAATTCCAGAAAAATTCCAGATAAATTCCAGATAAATTCCAGATAAAAGTTACTAGCTCCCTGTTGAGGGTTTGGTGTCCTTTTTTTTTTGTTTTGTCGTTCTGGCCTGCCCGGGGAATTTTTACCCATTATGTGCTGGGACAACCTAACTACCCGTACTTAGGGGTGATTGACAACGGACAAAGAGTAGTCCGGCCCAGGGCGGGAGGGGAAGGGGGCAGAAAAGGAGAGTGGGGACAGTTTTTAGCTGGCTTTTCTTCGGCTTCGGGGAAGGACATTCGTGTGCTGGGTCGCGGAGCTGCTGCGGTGGAGAGAAGGGAATTTTTCGCCATCACCCAGACAGAGCTGCTGCTTCTTCTCCTTCTCCCCTCTTGGTTGGTGGCCTCGCAGCCCCTGCCCTGCCGGGACGTGTGCCAGCCACCGCCGCAGAGCTGCTGATGCTGCACACCTCAGCCACCAGCCCAGGATCTCAGCTCGTCCCTGCTGTTCCAGCCGACTGTTCCTCAGAGCCCTGCAGGAGCACCGGGACTGACTGCCCGAAGGGGTTTGTGAAAACAAAACCTCTCCTCCATCCCATCTCAGCTGAGAGAGCTGTCCCGGGGTCCCTGGTTCTGTGTTCTTGTTATTGCTGTAGTTATTGTTTGTTTGTTTGCCTGGTTATACTAGTAAAGAACTGTTATTCCTATCCCCAGATCTCTGCCTGGAAAGCCCCTTGATTTCAAATTTATAATAATTCGGAGGGAGGGGGTCTACATTCTTTCATCCCAAGGGAGGCTCCTGCTCTCCCTAGCAGACACCTGTCTTCTAGAACCAAGACACTCCCCAAAGAGATTAATCTGTGTGTATTACAGGGGAACTGGACCAGGGAAGTACCGGTCTTTCCCAATGTTATCTTCCAGAATACCTTCACAGCACACTGCATTACATTCCAACCCTTGATTCCATACTGTCTGCCTGTACCAGATGTTTCATGCAAGGCAGAGGTCTCTGCTTCACCACTACAACTTAAATTTACCTTCAAAAAACCACCATACATCTGTCACAAGCTTTTGTCCCCAGACACAACTGCAATGCACAGGTCCCCCAAGCCCCCAAACACAACTGGATCATCTCAAAAGATACAACACATTTCTCATGCTCCAAAGCAACTTCCTTCAAGGTGGGTTGGGGTTTTCTTTTAAAGTAAAGCAGTTCTCACAAGTACAAATCTTTAAGCACCTAGTGCATTTTAAGCACCTGTAGAAGGCTTTTAAAGCTTTATTTAGCTGTTTGAATAGATCATGTGGTAGACAAGGGCAGCCTTAAAATGGGAACAGGCAGATCCAGAGGCTCTATAGTATCCAGCAGGAAGGCACCTTCCCTTCACCATCATTTCTTTAAATTCCTTAAACCACTGGAGGTGATTTGAATTCAAGTCACCACCAGGCCTTCTGCACCTCTCATTGATGGGAAGAGGCCAAGAAAAGGAAGAATAAGAACTATGGGGATGATGTCTAAAATCCTGACCTCAACTGGAAGTAAAAGAAAGGGAATCTTGATTTCTAAAGGAAATAGAAAAGGAAAGAAGAGTGTTACCAGGTTCCTGACATCACCTCCTATGACCTCAATCCCCACCTTGAAGCCCACAGGGTGATCTCACAGAGGCTGCACTTGCCCACAGCCTGGTCTGAGCTCTGCTGAAGGTGGGGAGTTTTGCTGCTGCAGCCCAAACAGCACTGCCCCAAGAGAAGCTCATTATCCTGCTGAGAGGATGGGCTGGCACAGCCAACTCCCATGGTCTGTGTGTGGGGCCACCAGCTCAGTGCTCCCCAAAGCAGCACACCAGCAGCCAGCCTGTTTCTGGCCAGCTGCTTTGCCACAGCCCTGGGCAGCCCACAACACCCACCGTGCCTAACAGTAACTCCCCAAACTCTTTTTGAGTAGCTTATTCAAAGCATTTTGAAGCCTGGCTCTTATTTATTCAGCTGTAGCAAGCTAACTGATCCTCTGTACTACAACATACAAACCAAGCATCTTATCTAAACACCATGTGATTATCTTGTATCACATCTTCACATTGCTTATCAGATGGACATGATTACTGAGACAGCAGTTTTTTTTCACACACAAATACCATTTAGAGCCAGCAGTACTGCACAAGACAAGGCTAAACAGTTCTCAGGTCGGCTCAGAAAACAGTGCCCACCAAACACAAAATAAACAAGTTGAATAAATAGCATCCCTCCTCCACAGCAACACATCCAACCTGGAGAGACTAAGTAGACACGTGCAGTTGTTTATAGTCGTGGGTGAAGCTTCAAAGGTCACAGAAGAGACCTGAACAGCTCCCACAGAAGCTCTCTATAAAAGCTGGGTCAGACAGTGAAATAGTAAAACAAATACAACACTGAAACGAAGGTAATGTGAGTACTCTCCTCCCCCCACCCTTCTCTGGAGGCACATGGGGGAAGGGGGATGTGGCCATTAGGAGTCACTCCGTGAATCAAAGAGGGCATCACATCAGCAGGTCCATGAAATAGCTGTTGGCAGCCTGCAAAAAGCCTCCCCAGTTTCTTGGGGTTGTGACAGAGACTGGAATCCTCATTCCAAAGGATGGCCTGTAGGGGTGCAAAACCAGCTGGAAGCAAGCAGCAGGCACATCTGCAGCCATTAGCAGAGAAGCTACATAATAGTGGCAGGAGAAGAAATGCCAGCTACTTTCACAGCCTACAGCCAGGAGAGCAAGGAAGAAAGCAAGCATCAACAAAGGCCAGGCAGCATGGCAATGTGTGAATCAGGAGGGGGACCGAAGTGATAAAGTCTTTCTCTTTATCAGCCCTAAAACAGAAGCAGAGTGACCAGAGAATACAGGAGGTCTGCAGTGGAAACGGTGACTGGGTTTTTGAGCATACTGCATGTGAATGATGCTTTGCTCATATTGTTTGCCTACACAAGTAGTTGCTACTGTTACTGTGGAAGTTCAGGAAGCACGACAGTCAAAATTATCAATCAGAAACTTAATTTATAACAATCTGGTAACTTTTTAAATCATTACTACAATTACATGATAATATGTCTTAACTTGCATTTGAGGGATAGCTTCAAAGTGAAGGAGGGAGGGCAAGTTCACAACAGATACGAGCAGGGAATTGTTCCCTGTGATGGTGGTGAGGCCCTGGCACAGGGTGTCCAGAGAAGCATCCCTGGAAATGTCCCAGGCCAGGTTGGATGGGACTTGGAGCAACCTGGTCCAGTGGAAGGTGTCCTTGCCCAGGACATGGGGGTTAGAATGAGTCGATTTTTAAGGTCCCTTCCCATTCAAACCATTCTATCATTGCACAATTTGAAAATTGCAAAACCATTGCTTCAGGACTGAAGAGGCAAGATCATCCTGGGGTTCTCTGGTTGGTTGGTTTTGTCTTTTTTTCTTTTAATCTTTTAGTACAGAGAAACACACCTGTCTGGCAAGAATGTAGAAAGCTATCAACGCCAAAGCATTGCTTCTCTTCAGGGCCAAAATTAGAGAGGCTATGAACAGAATGGCTCAAGACTTCCATTTTTCTTCCTAAAAAAAGAATGCTGATATTCGTAGGAAATTGCCTGGGTGTAAATGCTGCATTATAAAAGATGGCAAAGGCTTTGTCTGACTCAGAGATGACAACATAGGGTCACAAGAACAGAACACTTTTATCCATTTTGTTTTAATTTTGTCACTGGAGTGACTTTAGCTTTTTCAGAAGAGATCTGAATAGACCCCCCAAAGGAAATTTTTTAAGGGGTAGGGGGTTAATGCTTCACTTTAATTATATATGTCTGGGACTTTGAGTACCTGACCTGTAAGGTGTTCTTACAATCTCAGGCAAAATGGTTGTCAACAAGAGATCTCTGCTTCCCTTTAAAAAAAACCTAGCTTTGAATACTGGTCTGCCACAACCACCTTCACTGCTAGCTAAAAACTGTCTGACATTTTAAATAACCTGTCCTATATGTTATATTGCTATTTATTTGTTTCCTCTTCCACAGTTAGAACAGAATATTAGGTAGCTGCAAGGTTGGTATTCAAATTTTGTTTCCTGTGACAGTAGGAAATATTTTACCTTCCCTTTTCCATTTAAAGCACTGGCAAGGACTGTTGATATCTGCAGCAGTTGCAAATCATCTCATGCTGCTTCTGAAGGACCACAAATGGCTTTATCTCATCAGTCATATTTCACAACAAACAATTCCACTTCCAAAACATCTATATGGACTCAACAGGATTATAAAACATAAACCTCATGGGGCAATGTAACGACGTTTTCTATCATCCTGGAGAGAAACAAACTTACTTCAGTGCTTTCTTCTGAAAGCCAGACCTGGTGAGACT